TGCTCATTGGGAACTCCCATTTTGATTTCATCTTTCTGTGTCTCTACTCTTTTTTCAGATGGGTCCTTATACACTATGCTAATCACTGCTGGCTCTGCACTGGGTTCCTCCAACTTCGGCGGCGATTTGGTGGGTTCCTCTTGCTTCTGTTGAGTCTCCTTGTACACCAAGTTGATTACAGCTGGTTCTGCGACACTAGGTTGACTACTATCAAGCGTCTTCTGTTCGGTCATAGGTTGAGGGGCTTCTTTTTCAGCCGGTTCTGTTCTCTGGCGGTGGTCCAGGTCATTTCCAGCTTGGGCTGGCCCGTCGGTGGACTTATCACGCTGACTCGTTTCCAATGGTTTGTGGAGCTCATTTTGAGGTTCCGTGCTGTCCTTAGGAATTGGCTCTTCCTTTGGCGTTGCAGTTACTCCGTTCTGGGGGCCGCCATTACCACCTCTGAACAACAAACTGATCACAATTGCATTTCCTCCGCCATTTTTTTGATTTGTTGAGTTTGCTGTTGCAGCTTCACCAGATGTTGGGGCAGAATTGGGTGATGAAGAAGAAAATGGGTTGTAAATTTCAACAGGAACGGGGCCGTAACGTTCGCCATTATTTGGTGACGACTCTTCACCAGGCTTCGGGTAGAATCGAACTTCAGTAGATTTTGGTTGAAAAGTTACAGGAATCTCGACGAATGTTTCAGGTTCTTCGTCGGCAGTGGTAGGAGGGACATCGTTGGATGGAGGTTGATCAGAAACAGGAACTGAATCGTCGTCGATTTGAGCATCATCGCGAATCCACACGATGTCATCCATGGGGGAACCGAAGCAATGCGAAATGTTGTACACTGCGACACCGCCCCTTCGCAGCTCTTAGCGTTTGCTTTGTTTTTCTTGTGGCATATGTCACTTTATATTCAATATATCAGGATCTCGATGAGGGAACTGGTAGGGCAGTGAGGAATGAGCTCGAGAATCCTAATTTCTAAGCATCCTTCTAAAAAACCGAATGAGATTGATCCTCACAGCTTAAATCGCTCAGCACCGGCTCTGTCTCAGATTTCATTGAAGTACAGGCCTATGGAAGGAGCTAGTCTTAATTATAAGCAGTTTCATGGAGTCGGTGCTTCCTGAGAGCTCTTCTTCGGTATTCCAGTAATTCTATGAGTTGGACAAAAGTCATGGCTACATACGAATCGATGAGTCGAGTAAGCATGATCCGGTATAGTTTGCTCACGAGCAGTGCTCTATCCGATCCCAGTGCAATTGCCGATAGACCCCGGCGAAAAACTCTTCTTGGTCGTGTTGAGCTTCGAACATATAAGTGTCTTTCTCGGCTCTCTACTGGTTGCACAGTGCTTGCCGTTGCCTCATCGAGGACAAAATAAGTTCTGACAGATAACCGACAGAGTCACTTCATTACTTCCTTGTTGGACGACTTGACTGTTACTGAATTCATTTCATTTGGATTTTCAGCCAAATCTCTTACTGTTGTCTTCAAGTCACATGGCCTTGAACTTTTTGTTCTCGGTTTCCTATCTGATTGGAAAGGTTAGCCAACATCACAAGATCTCTTTCCAACATTGACAGTGACATTTAGTCATTGCCAGGCATAGCACCGACTCGGAACTGCCCTCCGAGTTGATAGGAGGCCATTCTCTTAATGGAGGTGGACCTCTGTCTTCTACTTATATCAGTGCGAATTTTCTACAGGTCTTTCTGACCGGTGGGAGAACGTGATCTAGTTTTTAAAGAAGCGTGCCCAGTATTGATGTCATGAGTTCATGATACCGTTTCTTTCTTTTTTTTTTTGAAATTGTTGTTTGAAAGCGGTCTTTCATTGCCGGCTCGACAGCTGCAGATTCCAGAGGAACAAACTGAAATAATTGCCTTTTGTTGCCTTTGATTTCTATTTTTCTACTGGGAAATTCGCTCTAGTCAGGGCTTTTGGCAACCGACTTTCTTCATAATAAGGCCGCGTATAGCAGATACGACAAAAGGAGTCAATGAAAATTGCCAATGTACAATGAAGAGGACCAGCTACAATTCTGCAGAAACTGGGAACGATGAGACGATGGGGTGCTATTGATTTGTCGAGGCGAGTGACCAATTTTTTCGTGATTGGACCTCAATTGTTCCAAACTACTTCGAAAAAACTCAACAGGCACAAATCAACTGCTACAAAACACTGTGTAGGGGGAGGTGTTCCAGGTCACTAAAAAGAATTCCAAAAATCGTTCAAGTCAACAAATCCAACAAAGTCCTCCCTTTTTCTGTTTAGCTGTCACGTGTGTAGGTTTCGTGCTCGTTTGTCCGCTTTTTTGCTTTTGAAGGTAAATAAGATTCTTGCATCGTTAGGGCTTCACAGTTTGCGTACGGAAGCCGAGAATCGCAAAAATAAAACACTAGGCGATCACTTCCGCTTCATAAGATAAGTGAAGAGCGATAAGTTATCATTCGACATGGCACGCTCGCTACTCACGTTCACAGTGATTTTGCTGTTTCCCGATTTCACTCATTCAGCAGGTCAAGCAGTATTTTTTAAAAGTTTTTCGAACTTTCGATAGACCCTTTCTCATCAATAAAACAAGCAAGGCTATCCGAATGTAACTGTCCACCTCGTATTCAAAGTAATATAAGTCTCAATCTACCCGGAACCATTCATGTTAAGAAGGCGCTGACCCTTCCGAATTCAATCCCAATTCGACTAATTCAATGACAACACGCTCACTCCTAGAGGAAATAGGGTGGGAATAGTCATATCCGATAGAGCTAGTATTCGATAGGGTTAAATTAAAAAGGATAAGAGGATAAAGTTTTTGGCGTTAATCAATCCCGTCTAAGGGATGCGCTCCCCCGCACTCGACCTCCATTCAGAATCGTAGTGGCGTAATGGGTGCGTATGTGGCCTATACAATTACTTGGGATCATGCGAATTTAAGTTAGTGCTTTTATCCTCCCACTCGAGTCTGGGCCCAATTAACCGACCCCGTGGGGATGGAAGGATTGCTCGGCCTAGGCGGGCATCGATCCGGGATTCGAACCCTCACCGTACGTGTGAGATAGTGCGCCACTTGCCACTACACCACCCCCGCCCTAAGGATAAATTAATTATAAGAAATAGCTATTAGATTTTAAATCTTCCTGAAGACGTTTCGAGAGTGCCACATCTGATTGCTTTACTATCACATCCAGCTTTACTATGACGGCATACACATCCATGCCGATGAGAATTCCGTCGTAGAAAATCTTCCATTTCTATTTCCACACCATCCTATGTAAACATTCGGAATCGTGAAAATTAAACCAGACAAAATCGTTATTAAACTTTAAGCATCGCCTCGATGCTTGCCAAGCTATAAGAACAGCTGCATGATGTCGCCATCTGTGAAGAGCTATTGTTTGCTAATCTGTGATTTCATATGATGAAGTATGTAAGCGATTGAGAATCTAATCGCTTGCATTTTACGAAACTACTTTCGAAATTGGTCATTTTCGAAAAATTCCTGTGGACTATTTATTCCACCATTGGTCCTTGGAAATATCATCCTTCTTAAAAATAAGAAATTCTCGTGGTTCACTTGTTGTAAAGTCCCGTCGTTAGTCAGAAAGGTAAACATGACTTTCTTCTCTCAACAGGGGCTATGTGATAATTGAGCCGTCTGAAATACGGTCAGCAACCTAAAAATTGTGTGATTTCAAGAATTCTGACAGCTCAAATTTCTCATGGCCAGTTAACGCTGACAACACTGCAACTGGTAGAATTAATTAGATTGTTTTGTTAATATTGAAAATTTAGCCAAGAAGACCGATACCTCGGACCAGACACTTTTTCAGGCAAATGTGATGTATCCTCTCCGCCAACATCATGGTTGGTGACGACGGCCATTGGAATAACGAAATATGCTACGGCTGGAGTTTCAGCTAATGGCGATCAGTTCTGTGTAACGGTGGGTTCAAACATAATTCAACAGTCCAACATCAAAAACAAATATGTTTACCGAAAAGCTGATCTGACCAAGAAAGTTAACCTGAATTGCCAAAGCAACACGTGGCTTTCCAGATTCCCAGTGCCCCAAGACATACTATGAGCATTAAAACTTCATAGTCTATTTCTCTGATAGATCTCCTCGTAAGCCAAACCTAGTTGCCCCATGCCATCCATTGTATAGAACGATCTCAACCTCAACTGAGGCCAACAGCTTTCCGGAACTTGTCCCAAGTACCTCATATTTGAAGTTTCTCTATTGTTACTATTCCTCTAATTTGGTGGTAGTGTAGTGGCAAGGGACGCACTACCACACATGTATGGCCCTGAGAAGGAATCCCGGATTGATATCAGCCAGGCAAAGCAAACCCCCCACCCTTCGGGGATCGTGCAGTTGGTCCAGAAATGTCTCGGAGGATAAAATCGCTGACCTGTACATTGGCTGGCAACCTCAAGTGCTCCTATAAGATACATTCGCTTCCATATGTCATTACCGTTTTGAATTGGGGTCGAATGCGTTGACAGGAAAGGGATTGATCGAAGCCTTAGATTTCATCTTTTTTTTTCATCCTTCAGGGGATACTGTCGGGTCAAAGCCGTACTGCAGTTGGAATATGAGTTTTGGTGATAAGTTAGCAATCTACTTATTTTTTTGAAACACTCTAAGTTTGCAATGAATCTTATTCGCGAGAACATACTATCTTTCATCTTTTGAATACTTCCTGAAATAGACAGTAATTTGAAGCTGTTGGATGGATCTGGTTCTCGCACCGCATTACGACCTAACAAGCCTTTGGCTAGAAACTGAGTACAAGTTGAAGTGACCGAATTTAGAGAGACCCATCAACTTTGGTAGAAGTTGACTACCACATAGATCTGCCTGATGAAATCCGTCAACGCGCAAGTCACCTCTCTCGATCTGGGCGTGAGCTCTGGGATAATCGTGAGTATTTTCATTACTTTGATCCAAGTCTGTCCTTTACCATGAAATGATCCTTGTTTATCTTCCTTCTAATCCCTTTTAGAGTACCGCATTACTGATTTCGAAGTTAAGCCATATCATTTCCGCTGGAATTTATTCCATTCTTCGTGATCCAAAAAGTTCAGCTTATAATGGATGTGTCATGGACGATCCCCAAATTCACGTTTGCTTCCCGTTTTGCGATGCTGAAAAGCAAGAGATTGTAAGTTGTTTTCAAAGTGAAAATATAGGATGGAACGTCAGTTTCGTTTCAGGCCATAAAAGCAGCGCTTTCTTCTGGAACTCCTAGTGTCGTTGCTGGCTCCATTGAGAAGTCGTTGAACAATCCAGAATGGGCAATCACTGTGTTGCAGGTGAGAATGCTTCCCTCTCTTTTTCTTTGAAAATAAGCTATGAAGCCTTTGTCAGAACCGTAGTTTTGCTTATGCCTACAACAAGAAAACGACATAAACACTCTTTGGAAAAAAGTGCAGTAAAGCTTAGTTTCTGTACAAAAAGAGGCCGTGTAGAAGTTGTCACCTTACAGGTATAGCTCTCGAAAAGATCTTAATTACTAGAAAGCAAAAGCCGCTTTCGAGGTATAGCACTACAAGGGGACACCCATTAAGACAGTTTCGTGAGGAAAAGCTGGCTTAATGGGTAAAAGCTGTCGAGTAGGAAGAAGCTTGATGATTGTCGTTCGGGTGGGAGTACTTCTCCCCTGAGGTGCTTCGCGACAGCCGCATCCGATAGCGCGCGGTCGGCGCTATGAATGAAAATTATCGAGTTTCCAAAGAAAGGATCAGCAGCCGCAGCGGAACCACCACCGTTGTTGTTTAAAGTGAAGTAATGCGTATAAAGGAATAAATCAAATCTGATATGGGTGTGATGTCATTAAGGCACAAGCTAAAGGGATGAGCCAGAGAATGCGTCCAAGCAAAACCCTGACAGAACTTTTATGTGTGACTTAGGTAAACAGTTGAGCTGAACTAGTAGCTCCCGCACTTCCTGGCTTTAATGAAGTTGCAGCGTTGACCAGCTTTGAAACGCGACTAATTCTCGAATGCATTTGGCTCTAATAGACCCCGGACTATAAGTAGGCTAGTGATTTTGCAGTTCGGAAATCCAAGAAACTCGTCAATTTCGGGGGAGGGGGGGGGGGGGGGCATTGGTCACCATTCACGCTCCTTATAACGCTTTTGAAAGAAACTATTCACATAACATTTCAGAAAATATCAGCAGTTGGTCCCACCTTGCTCCTTGCACTAAGAAAAAAAGAAGAACCTGTCTGCGCAAGGATTTTTTTTTACAAAGTTCAACTTTAAGGTTGATTTCAATAACCCGGAAGCACACTTGAATGTGACGTCCTTTCCTGACCCGAATGTCTGGTGCAGCGTTTACATTGGTATTGATCCTCGAATGGGATTTCCATATCTCTTCGAAATTCAACTCGGCAAAGTGATTCAATGAAGAATTTTAAGTTGAAGAGATAAATAAAGATTTTTTTCCTTCCTCACATTCTTATACAAGCACAAATCCGCCTACTGCGGAGCACTTGCTACACTCCATTCCGCACAAAAAAAAAATTTGAACTTCAAAATTAAAACATCCTTGAAGATCATTTCTGGCATGGTGTCCACATTCATTAGAATAGATTATCTAATAGGAATAATGTAAGTGTACACGACGGAGCCTTTGAGTTATACTGTTATATTCGAACTGAAAATCTTAAAATTTCTTGAAACTAATCCAAATTGGAGTTAAACACCTAAACGCAAGATTAACTCAAGTACGTGAAATTGAAAGAAGAACGGCTCTCTAAACAACACACGGCTGCTGTAGCCATTAACCATTTGCCCGTGCAGCATAAAAGGATATTCAAATTCGAGCGTTCCTGAGATACAATAATCTTGCCGGCACAAAGAGTTGACTACTTCCCAAACCCTTTCATCAATACATCTCACACCTGCCTTTGGGTTTTTTGTAATCCAGAACCTCATCTACTCCACAAAGAGTGATTACTGTGCCCTGAAATCACGCAGACTCCGTAATCTGCTTTCTGTTGCAGATAGGATAATGTGCAGTCATTTTCAACTTTGTCACTGCAATCGCTGTTAGAAAGCCCCATTCCACCAGTTTATTTTCTCTATTCAAAAGGACATCCACTACAATGTACTGTTGCGCATCGAGAAATATCATAAGTTTTACTTCCCTTGACGAGCTTTCTATTCCGTCTACCATCCCTTTGAACCTTCTCTGGCACTATTTACCCTTTACTGCCCCACTCTGTCGAGAANCGCTAGGCATCTTTATGACAAATGGATACAATATTCGTGTTCTACGGGTCACATTACCTCTGTAGGCAAGTTTTTAGCCGGTTTCATCTTCTTTGAAAAAATTCGGTAGAAATCCAGCCCAGTCCCGACAAGGTGGGGCAGTAAAGGGTAAATAGTGCCTTAATTTCTTCTAGCTCAGTCTGGACACAGGCGTGTTACGAAAAGCCCGGATGATTAAATGCAAGTTTGGACCGTCGATGAATGAATGACGAATGCAACTATTACCGCTCGCCTCCGCTAGGTAAATCTACATGCAGGATCTGTACTGCTGCATAAAAACTTTGTAAAATGTACATTACTCAAATGGCCCAGCATAATCGGTATACCTGCGTAACCAGTAATGAAAAACAAAGGTTACCAAAAGTTAGAATTTGAAGTTGTATGAACTGAAAACGATTTTGTGAAGCATTTCATCGAATGTTAGTACCAGTTGTTCGAAATCTACACAATCAAGCAACTCTGAACAGATTTTGAACACAATGATAAACTGGGAGACCACCGACTATGCCACCAAACGATTATTTCAAAGTAAAACGTGCATGCATTACAAAGTGTAGGAATGATACTCATCACATATCAGTAACATGTTCGTAAAACTCGGCTGGCAATACTTCGTATTTGACATCAGTGCAAAATTACTGTCCATTATACAGATAGCAGTTTCGGCGATTTGTATTCGTAAGCTGCAGTGTTCACCAGTACATAATAGAGGAAGCTCAGTTTTGATAGTAGTCCGTTATAGAATATTCATACTGAAAAGATCACCATTTACGATATTAAGATACATAAATAAGCTGCTGCAACTCACCCAGTGCTTCTACCGTCATCCACCAGTCGTTCATTATCACTCTCGCCTTCCGAGTCTTCATCGCCTAAGCCTTCACTGAGAGCTGCCTGCAGGCTCTCAATTCGTCGCTGGGCCAGTTTAAGTTCAGCGCTAAGCGTCTTGTTCGACTCTTCCAAGCGATCGATTTCATCACGCTAAAACCATTTCAGCAATGAAACATTCATCGATAGAATGGAAGATGAATAGTTTTGTCAAAAAACATGCCTCAGAAAAGGTAGTTTTATGGGAATCCTTTTTTTTCCGAAAGTGGTTCTTTGGTTTAAGTGCTTTCAGGAAGAATTATTCTTCCTCGTGGTACACCGAGGAAGAATAATTCGTCTTTCCTAAGAGCATTTTAACCACAAACTACTTTCGGAGAAAAAAAATCTCCATAAAATTAACCAGCGAACTCATTGATTACAATGTTCGGAACAATGAGTCTCACATGCTGAATATGCATCTGGCGATAAATTAAGTTTTTGGCGAGAGCGGAATCAAGCCGTATGAGAACAACCATCCTAGAAAACGATCTCCGCAGAACTGAAGGTAAAATAGCCATTTTTAAGCCTAGTAAGTAATCAAGCATGGTTCACTTATCGAAGGCCAAGTTCACGATAAAAAAAGGAATTTCAAGGTATTCCCCTAAACCCGTGGTGTGCTCGTATATCAAAGGTGCCGCTGTCGAATCGGAATTGGTAATCTTGAATGCAAAAATGTCAACCTCTGACGGCCTAGATAGAGCATGATAACGGCTCAAAAATTGGTATGCCACATCCAAAAACGGACGAGTTTCGACGACGCTTGCAGTGGCAGTCTACCCACAAGTTGGAATTTCAAACTATTCGCGAACCATAGCGACAAAAAGAAGCAGTTTAGAAAGCAGTTTTGAACATTTTTGGCTTAATTCAACTTACTTTTTACGAAACTGCAAATCTGAAACTCGTTCGAGTACACTTTGTTCCGTCACGACAACTTCAGGAGCTTTATCTCCACTGCTTTCATTTTTCGCGAAGACGGCGGATTTTCACGTTTTCTTCGTCACTGATGCACTATGCTTCACAAACACTTCCGCTTATCAAATAGGAAGGGGTCTCTAAAATTTACCGGAAACTGGGAATGGAAGGCACACTCACGATATTGTTGAGTTTGTTTTTCTGAACTCTTCACGAGGTTGTAAACAAGCTT